GATTCCTTTCTCTTAATTTTTTTTGCATATCTTTTATACATTTTTGGCTGCGGTTACTATGAGTTTCACATATAACATCCAATGTATACTATATGAAGTTGATGGTCTCTTAAGTTTGACATTCTAATTTTTTTTTAATATTTATTTTTGAGAGAGAGAGGGAGAGCAAGTAGGGGAGGGGTACAGAGAATGGGAGACAGAGAATCTGAAGTAGGCTCTGCACTGTTAGCACAGAGCCTAACATGGGGCTTGAACTCATAAACCACGAGATCATGACCTGAGTCCAAGTTGGACACCTAAATAACTGAGCCACCCAGGCACCCCTTAAGCTTGACATCCTAAAAGCACTACATTTTTACTCCCACCTTTCATATTTTATGTGTAGGATATCATATTTTATACCTTTTAATTTTTGTATCCCTTAACCAATTTGTTGATATTATTAATTTTATTAATTTTGTTCTTTAACCATCATAGTAGCTTTATATGTAATTGACCTACTACCTTTACTGTGTATATTTTTTAACCAGTGAAATTTTTTCCTTTCACAATTTTCTTCTATTTATGGCCTTTTCTGATTAAAAATTTCTCTTCAACATTGCACATAAGGCCAGTTTAGTGGTGGTGAAATCCTTTAATTATGTTTGGGAAACTCTTTATGTCTCCTCAATTCTTATTTTTTAAAAAATTTTTTGTTTGTTTTATTTTTGAGAGAGACAGATCATGAGTGGAGGAGGGGCAGAGAGAGAGGGAGACACAGAATCTGAAACAGACTTCAGGCTCTGAGTGTCAGCATAGAGCCCAACACGGGGCCTGAACTCGTGAATCATGATAGCATGACCTGAGCCCAAAGTTGTACGTGCAACTGACTGAGCCACCCAGGTATCCCTCTCCTCAATTCTTAATGATAATCTTGCTGAAAGAATATGCCCTCCCCCCCCCCCTTAAATGTTTCTTTATTTGTTTTGAGAGAGAAAGAGAGACTAAGGATAGGGCAGAGAGAGAGAATCCCAAGCAGACTGTACGGTCAGTGCAGAGCCTGATGAGGAGCTTGAATCACGAATCATGAGATCATGACCTGAGACAAAATCAAGAGTCAGACGGTTAACCAGCTGAGCCACTCAAGCACCCCTGGGTAGAATATTCTTAGTTGTAGTTTCTTCCTTTCAGCACTTTGAATATATCATACCACTCCCTCTTGACCTGCAAATTTTCTGCTGAAAAATCAGCTGATAACCTTATGGAGTTTTCTTTATATGTTTCTAGTTGCTTCTCTCTTGCTGCTTTTAAAATCCTCTCTTAACAATTTAAGATGTCAAAAACTAAAGATAAGTGTCATGGTGTGGATTTCTTGGGTTTATCTTATTTGGGGATTTCTTTGCCTTCTTAACCTAGATGTCTGTTTCCTTCCCCAGGTTAGGGAAGTTTTCAGTTACTATTTCTTCAAATAAGTTTTCTGCCCGTTTCTCTCTCTTGTTCTTCTTCTGGGATCCTTATGATGCAAATGTTTGTTCACTTGATATTGTCCAAGAGATCCCTTAACCTGTCCTCATTCTATTTTTATTTTTGTTGTTTAGCTTGGATGCTCTCCACTACCTTGTCCTCAATATTAGTGATCCATTCTTCTGCATCTGCTAATTTACTGCTGATTACCTCTATTATACTTTTCATTTAAGTCACCGTATCCTTTAATTCTGATTATTTTCATATTTTCTGTCAACTTATTGAAGTTCTCACTAAGTTCATCCACTCTTCTCTCTTGTCCAGTGAGCATCTTGGTGCCCATTACTTTGAACTCTTCATCAGGTAGACTGGTTATCTCCATTTAGTTTTTTGCCTAGGGTTTTGTCTTGTTTTGTTTGGTACACATTTCTGTCTTCTCATTTTTAACTTTTTGTTTTTTTCTTCTATGAATTAGGTGGAACAGTTACTTTTCCCAAACTTGAAGGAATGGGCTTGTGTATGGTTGTCCTCTGTGTAGACTATGTGCCTGGTGACTTTCGCTGACTGGCTAGAGCTGTGGCTAGCATGGGTGCAGATTCCAGGGCACTCTGAGCTAGGGCTGCCCTGGTGGGATAGCTGGAGCTGATGTGGGCATGGGCCAGTGTAGTCTCAGGGCTCTCTGCACAGAGGGTGCCCTGGCAGGACAGCAGAGAAGAGGCAGTGTAAGCTGGGGGTGCCTGGGGCTCTCCACAGAGAGGGCAGCCTGGCAGAGTAGCTAAACATAAGGCAGGGCTGAGTCTGAGGGTCCTGGGGCACATTGTGAAGACGGCATTCTGATAGGGTGTCTGAAGCTACTGCAGGCACGATCCAAGTGGCCCCAGAGTGCTATGGACCAGAGGTGCCCTAGTAAGTCATATGGAACTGAAGTGGTTCAGGTCTAGAGTATTCTGGGCTGCTTTGTACCCATGTCAGCTTTGCAAGACAGCTGCAGCTGTAGTGAGCACTGACCAGGTGTGTTCTGGCATGTGTTACACTGGGACAACCTTGGTGGTACAGCAGGGCTGGTGTGGGCTCGGGGCATGGGGCTCACTGAAGCATTAGGCCACCTAGAATGCCGAACCCTGCTTCCATCCACACTCTCAAGGTGGAGGGGAAATATAAACTGTGGCCACCATCCCCTCTGACCAGGACAAAGTTCCAGCAGTTCCCCTGCTATTTGACAGAGTTCTCGGCTGGTTCCTGTATATTCTAGTTGACCTTTTAATCCATGACTTTTTTTATGTGCCCCACAGCAGATGATCTGCTCACAGTATCCCTTCTCACTGCTGTTTGCAGTGTCAAGGGTGAGGATTCCCTTTGTTACTGAGTCTCTATTTCTCTCACTATTCTTTATGTGGTCTCTGTATCTTCAATTGTGCAGAAGCTGTTTAGTCAGCCCTCTGCTCTTCTTCAGGAGAAACTTCTCTATAAATAGGTGTAGATTTGGTGTGTCTGTGGAGGAGGTGAGTTCAGGGTCTTCTAACATCACCCCCTTGGAACAAAATCTCTTCTTTATGATTTTTCTGAATATTTTCTTTTCTCTAGCATATGTTATTGTAAGAATACAGTATACAATACATCTAACATACAAAATATGTGTTAATTGACCATTTATGTTATTGGTAAGGCTTCTAGTGAACAGTAGGCTATTAGCAGTTAGGCTTTGGGAGGAGTCAGAAGTTATACGCGGATGTTTGACTGTGAAGGGTGATATCCCCAACTGCCATACTGTTCAAGGGCCACCTGTATATATTTTTAACTGTGTGGGGAGGGGTGAGCAATTGTTGAAGGTTCTTGGCCATTTATAATTTTTCTAGTCTACTCTCCAACTTCTTTACTACTTATTTTATTCCCCAAGCTCTTTTTAAAAATTGGTTATGGCTAGTATCCAAAATCTATAAAGAGCTCACCAAACTCCACACCCGTAAAACAAATAATCCAGTGAAGAAATGGGCAGAAAACATGAATAGACACTTCTTTAAAGAAGACATCCAGATGGCCAACAGGCACATGAAAAGATGCTCAACGTCGCTCCTCATCAGGGAAATACAAATCAAAACCACACTCAGATATCACCTCACGCCTGTCAGAGTGGCCAAAATGAACAAATCAGGAGACTATAGATGCTGGAGAGGATGTGGAGAAACAGGAACCCTCCTGCACTGTTGGTGGGAATGCAAATTGGTGCAGCCGCTCTGGAAAACAGTGTGGAGGTTCCTCAGAAAATTAAAAATAGACCTACCCTATGGCCCAGCAGTAGCACTGCTAGGAATTTACCCAAGGGATACAGGAGTGCTGATGCATAGGGGCACTTGTACCCCAATGTTTATAGCAGCACTCTCAACAATAGCCGAATTATGGAAAGAGCCTAAATGTCCACCAACTGATGAATGGATAAAGAAATTGTGGTTTATATACACAATGGAGTACTACGTGGCAATGAGAAAGAATGAAATATGGCCTTTGTAGCAACGTGGATGGAACTGGAGAGTGTGATGCTAAGTGAAATAAGCCATACAGAGAAAGACAGATACCATATGTTTTCACTCTTATGTGGATCCTGAGAAACTTAACAGAAACCCATGGGGGAGGGGAAGAAAAAAAAAAGAGGTTAGAGTGGGAGAGAGCCAAAGCATAAGAGATTCTTAAAAACTGAGAACAAACTGAGGGTTGATAGGGGGTGAGAGGGAGGGTAGGGTAGGTGATGGGTACTGAGGAGGGCACCTTTTGGGATGAGCACTGGGTGTTGTATTGAAGCCAATTTGACAATAAATTTCATATATTGAAAAAAAATTATGCTTCAGTTAAAAAAAATAAAATTAAAAAATTCTTTAATAACTTTATTATTTATACCCTATATAAACTTTAATATAAATAAAGGTTAATAAAGTTATAAAGTTTATTTATAAAGTTTAAATGAAGTTAATAATGTTATACTATCAAACTTCTATAGTAAGATATATTCATTTTATCACCTGAAACACACATTTTCTGCAACTTATTATTTACCTTTTTCAGAATGGTTATTATGCCTAAGTTTTGAGTTTTTATATAATTAACTTTTTTCTTTATGAATTATAGATTTTTTGTGATGTTTAGAAAGGAGTTTCTAAACTAAGATTATAAAAATCCATACCTGTGTTCTTGATACACTTCTTATAGTTTTTATTTTTTTAAGTTTATTTCTTTATTTTGAGGGGGGGAAGGGGCAGAGAGAGAGGAGGGAGAGAGAGAATCCCAAGCAGGCTCCGACAGCAGAGCTCTGACATGGGGCTGGAACCCACAAACCATGAGATCATGACCTGAGCTGAACTTGGCCTGCTTAACCAACTGAGCCACCCAGGTGCCCCATATAATACTTAACCTTTTTTTGTTGCTACTATAAAAATGATCTTCTCTTCCATTATGTTATTGAACTGGTTATTGTTTGAATATAAGAAACTTACTGATTTTTGACTACTGGTTTTATAAGTATAATAATTTCACTTGTGAAGATATCTGCAGCAATAAAACATTACCTTTGTAAGTCCAGGACTTCATTTACAAGATCTGTTCCAATACTACCAGGGCCAAGTACTATTCCAGTAGACATTCCAGGTACATTAATATAAGATGGTTTTGAGGATTCTAAATAATAACAAAAGGGAAAATCCAATTGAAGACTTCTAAAAAGTTATGTATAACTTTGGTTAATATTTTTATCTCCATTCAAATACATTTCCCATTTTCCTTTTTAAAAGAAACAGACTAGCTACATCCTAAAATATTAGAAATATTTATGCTTGCATTACAAACATAACTCATGATGGCTTAAGACGTGTATGAAGAATGACAGGAGTCAAATGTGTAGAACATCATTGAGGGTATAATCATGACCTGTAACCCTTGAGCACAGACAGTTCCTTCCCATTTTAATCTCCACACTGAAGCCAGAGTAATACTGCTTTATTTTTAATATTCCTTCATATTTCTGTTTTTATTTATATAAGTAATAGAATAAAATATTCCTGTGGTGAAAAACCAAGATAAGCAAAAACTCCCCATTAATACTTTTCATTAATTTGCTCAACAGATATGTATTGAGTGCCACAAACTACAAGGAACTATGCTAGCCACTAGATAGATAATGGATAAAATACCATTCCTACTCTCGAAGAACTCGATCTAGGGGCAGACCAGATGAACAAACAACTAATTGCAATACAGTGTAAGAGTATAATGGAAGGGTAATCAAAGAATTGTAGAAATTCTAAAGAGGATAACTTTAGCCCTACAAGTCTTTGCAATATTACCTTGAAATCTTTCCCTCTCCAAGACAGAAAAAGATGGTAACAATAACAACACTCCTAGTAATAAATCCCCATCATTTAAACCAAGCTTACCTTCTGATAATTGAGAGCTGCAAGGAAGTAACGATGCTTCTCTAACCTCACTATGTCCCCTAGAATGAAGAAACACCATAGGTGATTTTTTTTTTAGGTGAAGGAAATTGTTAAATAAGCAGAGCTTCAATGTAGTGGCTTTATCAGTTCTTGACCTTTTTGTTTTATATATACTTATTGTTAATGTCACCACCAGAGATCAAAGTATTTATGTGCTAAGTACCAGGACATTTGCTAAATGTCTTATTACCCTATAAGGTACATTTTCTCACTCACAAACTCTCAGTTTGTATACTAATGATAAGAAGGCAAGGATTATTGGAATGATAAACGGGATAGTGCTGGAATGCCAAGCTTTGGGGGCCTTTTAAAAACCTAAATATGGGGCGCCTGGGTGGTGCAGTCGGTTAAGCGTCCGACTTCAGCCAGGTCACGATCTCGCGGTCCGTGAGTTCGAGCCCCGCGTCGGGCTCTGGGCTGATGGCTCAGAACTTGGAGCCTGCTTCCGATTCTGTGTCTCCCTCTCTCTCTGCCCCTCCCCCGTTCATGCTCTGTCTCTCTCTGTCCCAAAAATAAAAATAAACGTTGAAAAAAAAATAAAATAAAAACCTAAATATAGTAGATCAGGAAACAGAATTGGGTTAATGTTACAGCAATTACAATGAAAAACTTACAGAAAAATAATCATACTTAAAATGGGCTATGCTATCCTATTAAGCAAAGCAGGGAAGGTTGTTCTTCCTTTAAGTTAGCTGACACAGACATAGCCAGGGTTTGGCAAGCAGTGCTTAGGCTGGATTTGTGCTTATTCCTCGGCCAAATATTCCTACACAATCACATGTAATACCTCAGGCTTAGAAGATGTCTATAAAAATGATCCGTGGGACAAAACAATTTCTTACGATGATATATATTTTAAAGCTACAACCACATCATTTATTGGAAGGTCATGACAAGGCCATGAAAGGTAGGAAGAAAGTACTTAAATGCATTTATTATCACATTTTATACCAAGCAAAAAGAAATGTATTCCAAAAGGGAAAACTTTCAGCCTAATTCTGAGAAGTAATGCCAGTCAACAGTGAATAAATTACAAAAAGTATGTACTGAAGTTATAAAGCCAGATGATCATGCAACTTTAATGGTTTAGCAAGACAAGAAAAGACATGACACTTATTTGAAATCAACATAAAGGTCTTAACAACATAAAAGTTACTTACAAAACTAAATTGTTGACAGACACAATATATTCCAGTTCTTTGGTCCAAGGATTTGTGAAACTAAACCACTGGCTTTTTAAAGTTACAAAAGAGCCATCTTTCTTTCTGAACTTGTATGAATCTGTAAAGATTTTCTCTTTACTCTGTAGAACTTAACAAGAAAGGATAATAATCAGCATAACGGTCTACTACATAAATCAATCCCTTGAGGGATAATTCAAGTTTCAGATTTCACAGGAATGAAAAATGAGTTGAAGCTGTAATTAAAAAGTACCAAAAAATTACCCTACTCAATGCCTACCTGCTTTGTGCTTGTCAGTCAAATTACTATGGTCATCCTGATGAAAATATTCATAACAAGAAGTTCCCAAAAGTTCCTGAGGCAGGTATCCTAAAATTGCTGTTGCCCTGGTTTTAAAATCAAAAATAAACTTCAGATTGGTAAATTCATTCCCTTCCAGAGTACTGTAGGTCCACCTACAGTCACAATAGTGGGAAAGTGACAGGGGATGAGTAAGCCATATGCATCACCAGGCCCCCCCTTTGGCTGCCCTAGACCCAGGCTAGAATGGACATCCCCCCCAGCCCAGGGTAGACTCTTTTTACCATTCACCAATAAAATTGTGGCCACAGACCATGCTCAGTTTCTGCACCACTGGCTCAGAAATATTCCAAGTTTATTTTTTGACTTGAACAAAATTATGCACATATCCACATTCTTTTTTCATTTAAACTTATTTCCTGTTCTGAAGCCTTAAGTATCCCATTGAATGCTAATCATTATGGCAATAAATAAATGTTCACCTTTGGTCCACATAGACAAACTTCCCATTCATTGCAAACCGGGTTATAAATTCAGTTGGTTTCACTTTAATCTCTCCACTGTTCTGTGGTACAATATATGGATGTAACCTTCCAATGGCAACAAGGCAGGTAAAATTACTACTGTCTTTCTTACTGTCCTTTTCTTCTTCCATTCCAACAATATTTGGAGGCCAGCTTCTCAAGTAACCAGTGCAATGGATAGTACAGAATTTTCTATGATCTAATTCAAAAGTTAAAAAAAAAAAAGAACATTTGTGTTATTACGAATAAACTCTTAAATTTCTTTGACATTTATAATAGTTATAATTGTGCTATAAAGTATTCTTGATGCTAAAATATGAAAGGGGAAAGGTATTACATTGAAAAGAAATCATCAATTACATTTAATAACCTTATTCTTAATGGGTTATTTTTCTCATCAACTAAATGATACATACTACAATAAAAAGTTAAAAGATTAATTTAGGTCTAAATAGGCCTGTAGCTAAGTATATTTCCAAGTCAGTTTTTTAAAAAAAATTTTTAATGTTTATTTCTGAGACAGAGAGAGAGCATGAGTGGGGGAGGGGCAGAGAGAGAGGGAGACATAGAATCCGAAACAGGCTCCAGGCTCTGAGCTGTCAGCACAGAGCCCAACGTCGGGCTTGAACTCACAAACCGTAAGATCATGACCTGAGCTGAAGTCGGTCACTCAACTGACTGAGCCACCCAGGCGCCCCTCCAAGTCAGTTTTTTAAATAACAGCAATTCACATCTGTTACAAAAACTTAAACTTCAAGCTCCCTTGCTCTTAACCACAAAGGTATTATTTTTAGCTTACTTTTTGGTATAATTCATATTCAAAAATTTATACAAGACAGCATACATTCTTAAATTTCTTATGTTAGCACTTATACTGATTAATAGATATCTATGGTTATAATAGATTATAAAAAATAGAGAACATTTGGAGAAATTCATAAAAGGTATAAAAATAAAATTTGATTTGATTTCACTTTTCAGAAAATTCTCAATTAACTCATAGGAAAAGACTTAACAGGCCCAATCAAAATAACAAAGAATTGGAGCTGTCAGCACAGAGCCTGACATTGGGCTCGAACCCATGAACCACGAGATCATGACCTGAGCCCAAAGTTGGACGCCTAACCAACTGAGCCAGCCAGGTGACCCTTAAATATTTATTTTTGAGAGACAGAGAGTGAGCACGTGCATTTGTGCAGGGGAGGGGCAGAGAAAGAGAGGATGACAGATATTCTGAAGCAGCCTCTAAGCTGTCAGCACAGAGCCTGACGCAGGGCTCAAACTCATGGAACCATGAGATCATGAACTAAGCTGAAGCCGGAGGCTTAACCAACCGAGCTACCCAGGTGCCCTTCAAATATCAGGAAATTCTTAAAACAATGAGATACAACACAGGCATAAAAGATAAGCAGTATACAGATTATGGCAACTCACACACAAAAAAACAACTTACAGGTTAAAAGGGATGGGAGGGGAAAGCCTGGTAAAAATTATTTAAAACAGTTGTTTGTGATAAGAGTTAGAAAAGACCAGAACACTCATTGTTTTAAATCAGTACTATTTGGTAAGACTGTTATTGCAACAAATCTTAAAAAAGAATTTTTTTTAACAGAAGATGATGTGGGCTCTCTTGTAAGACAGCACCTAACAGTAAGAGCAAAGACTTGGAGAACACTTCTTGTGCCATGCTGTTTTAAGTGCTTTAGATGTATAATTAATTATAATAGCCCAGTGAGGTGTTCCTATATTAGCACCACTGTCTCAGGAAACTGAGTTAATGCCAAAGTCACAGCAGAAAAGGGTGGAGCTGTGAGTGCTCTTAGAAGGTGTTCAAACATGAGTTGTCTGGGTGACAGTGGGGGAGGAATACAAAAAGGTGTTTCAGTCAGAGGCAACAGCCAGTGTAAACCCAGAGCAGAGAGTGTCAGATGTGGGTGAAGGCATGGTCTGTGATGGGGGCGTGGCTTGACAATAAAGCAGGGAACAGATAGATTTAGCTCTTGTAAACCATGTATAGGACATTGTACTCATCACCTATCAGACATCACCTCCTCCATGGTCCACAGATGCCTTAAATTATAAGTTGTCTCTTCTATTCTCAATCCAGATATTTCCTTTAATTCTTTTTTGTTTCAGGTGTACAACACAGTGATTCCACAAGTTTAAACATTATGCTATACTCACAAGTAGCTACCATCTGTCACCATACAATGCTCTTACAATATCATTGACTGTGTTCCTTATACTGTGCCTTTTATTCCCATGACTTATTTGTTCCATGACTGGAAGCCTGTATTTTCCACTCCCTTTCATTCATTTTGTCTGATAACCTCAACCCAACTTAAAAATGGGCAAAGGACCTAAATAGACGTTTTTCCAAAGAAGACCTAAAGATGGCCAACAGACACATGAAAAGATGCTCAGCATCACTAATCATCAGGGAAATGCAAATCCAAAGCACAATGAGATGCCACCTCACATCTGTCAGAATAGCTAGAATCAAAAACATAAGAAATAACAAGTGTTGGTGAGGATGTGGAGAAAAAGGAACCTTCATACACTGTTGGTGGGAATGCAAATTGGTACAGCCACTGTAGAAAACAGTATGTTTTTCAAAACCTTAAAAACAGAAGCACCATATGATCTAGTTAATTTCACTGCTTACCCAATGGAAAAAAAAAATACTTATTTGAAAGGATATATGTGCCCCATGTTCACCGCAGCATTATTTACAATAGCCAAGATATGGAAGCAACCTAAGTGTCCATCAATAGATGAATGGATGAGGAAGATGTGAAACACACACACACACACACACACACACACACACACACACAATGGAATATTATGCAGCCAAACCACATCTTTATCACTTACTCCCTATTCTGCTTATTGGCACCATAATCAACCCAAGTAGTTAAATGACAAACCTGGGAATCCTACCAAGTTCTTTCTTTATAACATCCAAGATACCATAAAGGAATTATGGTAAGTGGTAAAAACAAGGTTTTTATTAATATTAAAACTAGATAGCAGTCAAAAGTAAAAAAGCTTATATACACTGAGTCTGGCATTTCTGATGACACTAGCTTGCAAATTTACAAATGATACCGACTAAAAATATTCTATTCAACTAAAAATGTAGGTTTAAAAAAGTGTCACATTCATACGGAATTTCATCACACAGGACCTCGCATTTTGCTTTGATTCTTCTCTAACAACAGGGTTGCCAACCAAATTTCCAACTTAATCTGTCTCACAATCCTCACTGTGAATATTTATTCACTGACACATTTTTAGTTGGGATTATGTAATTCCATCCACTGTAATCCATTCAATCAATTATCTAAGGTATTCTTTTAATCCCATAAAAAATCTCTTATTTCAAGAATTCTTTAGATTTTTACCTAAATATTGGGGTCATTGGCCCCAATCTTCATCAAACTATTTACATCAGCTCCAAAGGGTAGATTTAAGTATAGCCTACTCCATGATTTTTGAAGAGGGAGGAAATTTTATATTAACCCAAACACTGTCTTCGTTTACAGGACATCTTTTCAAAATCCTTTGTGAAAATTTTCTTCAGATTGAGGGCTAGGTCTCTCAGCTTGACATCTTGCTGTCTTGGGTTAAATTCTCACAGAAGCAGAGCCTGAGACAAGGATTCTGGTACAAGAAGCATATTTGAGAGGTGATCCCAGGAACACTGGTAGGGAAGTAGGATGAGACAGGGAAGAGGAGGAAGCTAATAAAGGACATGTTCTCTAGCAAGTTGCCACTTTGGAAAACCAAATGGGCGGGGGGTATTTGGGAAATTAAAATGTAGAACAAGAGCCTAAGAACTAAGTAATCTGAAGGAGAAGAGAGCTAGGAAGTTTATCCATCAGCTCCCTTTAGGCATTGGATGAGGGATGCTCACAGGCAGCATTCATTCCCTAGCACTTGAGGTCTGCCCTTAACTAGTATAGGCAGAACTGTCTCTAAATAAGGGACAAGGTCTAGTAGAGTCTAACAGAGGTTCGACATTGGAAACAAGGTGCCATGCCCTTGAAGTGGTAGGTGCTAAGAGGACAGGTCATGGTGTACTGACGGCATCTGCCACACTTGCACAAGGAGCCAATGGGATTCTGGGTGTACTCCTGCATGGTTATCTTATTAGGTTTAAGAAACACCCAAGATATTTGGAAGTAGCCATCCGTTCTGCATCAGCCCTTGACTTCACGAGCAGAGACACATGAATATTCCTAACTTACAAGCTTTTTCAAAGTATGAATCTGTAACATTTATGTTAGAATCAGGCAGAAATAATGTTTTTAATGTCAATCTGGCTTATTTTTTAAAAAGTTTTTATTATGGAAAATCTCAAACACACAAAATCAGAGAGAACATTACAATGAAACCTCACTAGAGTGTGTCAGAACCAATCATGAGAAATGGCTTTTCCATAAATCTTAAGTTCAGTTTCAAAAATTAGCATAAAAAGGCTACTTCCTAGCGACTTTTTTAAATTAAATTTAAGTACAACTAGGGGCACCTGTGTGGCTCAGTTGGTTAAGCTTCTGACTCTTGATTTCGGTTCAGGTCATGATCTCATGGTTCATGGGGCTGCATCGGGCTCTGTACTAATAGCAAGAAGCCTGCTTGGGATTCTCTCCCCACCCCCACCCCCGCCCCTCCCCTGCTTGTGCTCTCTCTCTCTCAAAATAAATAAACATTTTTTAAACTTTTAAGTGTAACTAAAACATGGAGGCAAGAGATCAGTGTTTGCCAGGGGTGGTGGCAGGGGGTAAGAGGAGATGAATAGGGCAGAACACAGTGGATTTCAGTGCAGTGAGACTACTCTGTATATATTTTTCTAAACCGTTTTTTAATGTTTATTTATTTTGAGGGAAAGAGAATGAGTGGGGGAGGGGTAGAGAGAGAGTAGAAGAGAGAATCTTAAGCAGGCTCCACGCTGTCAGTGCAGAGCCTGGCATGGGGCTCAAACTCATAAACCTGAGATCATGACCTGAGCCTAAATCAAGAGTCAGATGCTTAACCAACTGAGCCACCCAAGTGTCCCTACTCCGTATGATGTTATAATGACAGATACATGTCATTATATATTCATCTAAACCCACAGAATATACAATACCAAGAGTGAACCCCGGGGTAACTGTGGACTTTGGGTGATTATGATGATGATGTGTCAGTGTAGGT